AGCATGTGCCCATGCTGCTTGAGTTCTGGTTTGGGTAGGCATGCTGAGAAAGTATTGCTGAGACTTGGACAGAAGGGTAGTGACCTACACAAGTGTGAGTCTGAAATACTGTTATGTCTGGGTCTTCGCCAGTCCAAAGCTGGTCTGGAGTCTGGTCAGGGGTCAGAAGGTAGACAAGGAACTAGAGGGTTGGACTGTTGGACTTAGTGACTGAGGGTGCAGCACTATTCCCTTGCATGGGACATAGTCAGGTTGGGAGGCAGGAGACAAAATCAGAGGGAACAGGTTAAGATGAGACTAAGTTGATTTCAGACTGAGGCTAAACAGATTATCCTATGGCTTATATACTAGAGTTACCTAAGTGTAATGTAGCACTGGGGACCAGTTTGCACTGGTACAGCAATGGTTGGTAAACTGATTGGTAAGTAATGTTACAAAGAATATTATCAAGCAAGACCACGAGCAAAGGATTACCAGGAACCAGGGCAGGACTAGTGGCTGGGCCAGGTATTACACCAGCCTGTTACCAACTGAGTGGACAACTTGATTGGGCACTGCCTTGCAGTGTCTCATGAGCTAACATGTTTCTGGGTCAAAGGGTTAAGGCTGGGGCTGGGGCAAGGTTGGGTGAGGCTGGTCAAGACCAGGGTAGAGCCAGTCTAGGGTGGTCTAGACATGGTTGTGACAATATGTATGAACAGGAAGAGAGCCTGAAGATGGCAGGAGCAGTCTGATCCCCAGACTCAATGGTGGCTTTCAACCTTTTGACAAATTGTTCAAAGGTCTTGAAAAAGATAAGATGTCCACTGACATTATTTTCATTTTGGTAATTTCAGCAAACAAGGCAGCAGTTCCCTTAGTCATAGATGGAAGGGCAAACATGATCTTTTGATGATTGGTTTTGTAGACCTGCAAATTAAGCATGAGGCACCCACTGTAGGGAATGTACACTGGACTCTAAAAGGTGTCCCAATGTTGGGTGATTTTGGAAGAATTTAAGATTTATGCAGGATTCAGTAGGAATCAGTTCAAACTCCTGCAGGAGCAAAAGTAGCACTAATTGTTGCCTTGACAACAAGGGCTTGTTCATGTAATTTGGTTGCCATTGCACTGAGATATAACCATTTTCAAATGACATGTCATTGGGGCACTTTGTTGAGCATGATGTTGTCAGTCATTATTTAGTAAATAGCTTAGTCAGCCCTACCTAGTACTTGATGTAGTTAGTTTTTTTTAACAATAGACAAGTCACCCCAAGATGAGAAGAGGTTCAGGTTGAGCCATAGACTGCCTCACAACTCCTCAGAGGTCCCTTCATCATTTGCTCAGGCTATAGTAGCCCCTCTGGACTAACTCCTTCAGTGTCTACTGTCTCCCCAACCTCCCTCAATAAATTTTCCTTCACTGTGCACTTGAATTACCCAATTTTGCAGGGTCTGATGGCTCCTATTGTTTTCTTGAGGGCAATTAATATTGAACTCCCTTTCCATTGGGTAGGGACAGTGTGTGCCTGCCTCCTTTGATTCCCTCAATGTCCTTGCCTTTACTGTTCCCACCAATGGGGTACTCTGGGGACATGTCAAATGTCTGGGCATACCACTGGGTTGGCATCTCAGCACTAGGGGAAGTTCCTATAAATGGATCCCTAGCCACAGGTCTTCTTGCAGCATCTTCCTGGGCAGTTTTAACAATAGAAGCAACCTTGGCTTCCATCAAGGTCTGAACAGAATCTGTTGGCATTTCAGGGGCTGACTCTGCATGACCTAATTCCATTCTGGACATTTCCAGTTCCTGTTGGTTATTGTTGTTTAAGGCTGATCTGAGATCCATAGAGACCAATACATTGTCTTCTTCTTTGGAACTTGGGATGCCTCTGTCTCATGATGTTGGGACAGAAAAGCTGTGTGGGGTGGGGGGGTAGAAGTGGCCTGACTCCAAGACCTCTTCTGAACAGTCCTCTAGGGTGAGAAGGCAGTACTGGGGGTGTACAAAGAGGGTCAAGACACTTTGCCAAAAAGTGTGAACCACTTCAATGAACATCATGGCCTTCTGTGAGAGCTGATGGACATCAGGACCCTTCTTGTATTCCTTAGGGCATCTGAGTAACTGCTTTCATTGGGCAGCACACTTTGCTTCTCTCAGAGGTAACCAAGTCTCACCAAGAGTGTCATCACCAGCACTAATGCAAGGTTGACCAACTGAGCACAGAGATCAGCCTCACCAACACCCATGACTTGGAATGTGGCATCATCATGTTCAAGCTCATCCTCTGACTCACTCTCACTGGCTGTGAACTTCAAACTGTCAAGTACATTAGTGCATTTCCACTCCAGTTCTTCATCTTCTGCCTCTGCCTCAGGGCTGGGAGCATGAGATCATGTCCTCATGCATTTGCTTGTGTGCTGATCCTTGTCAGATTTGGGTGTATCAGGGAATGATACATTGCCTGTTTCAACAACAGCTGAGCTCTGGTTATGCAGACCAGCCATGTTGCATGTTACAGTGGGTTGTCAAGGGCATTCCTGTGTCTAAGAGCAATTCACATGACCACAAACCTCAGACTTGCTTAACTTTTTCTGCTCCTCACTAGTGTGACAGCTGTACCCTCACTTCAGTCAACCCCCCTTGGAGACCTATTAAGTCTGGAGATTTTGATATAAGTATTAACCTAATAGGTGTCATCTTGGTGGGAATTCTCAACTTTTGGGGATTCTCCACCAGCATTCCTGGAGATTCTCCAGGACAGCAATTTAATATGGTTGGAGAAAATGTTTTCTCCATAATATATATATATATTATGCATCAAATGAAAGGGTAGCTGGGGTCCAAATTGGACTTTCTCCAGGCTAAATAGATCCCCTTTCCAGGTTGATCCTGGGATTTCCCCAGGCTAAATAGACCTGCTTTCCAGGTTGATCCTGGGATTTCCCCAGGCCAAATAGACCCACTTGCCAGGGTGAACCTGGGCCTTCCACAGACTAAATAGACTCATTTTCCCAGGCCATGGAAAGTTGGAAGCCATTCTTACAGAGTGACACAACTTGAGACCATCAATTATGGCACTTGCATTGGAATCCTAGGTGATCAGGAGGGTTCCTTGAAAGGCAGGGGGGATGGAGGAGAACAGACAGCAGGTGAGTGGTACAGGGGGAGAAAGGGGCAGGGTGGATGATAGAGGAAAGGGGAGGTAGAATGACACCTTCTGCATATGACATCAGAATCATCTGGGTGTTGACTCTCAGGAAACATCCCCCTGACCAAACACTCCACTCATCCTTATGCACTCAAACTAACCTACCCTGTGCTTTAGCTCACCCTGCTCCTCATGCTGCTCTAACAAGATGATGGAGGACATTTTGGACACCAACAAACTCCCATGATGAAGTCAACAAATATACCATTGGAAAAACTATGTGATGTTCAGAAGTTGGGACACTACCATCTCCTCTATGTCACCAGGAAAATCACACAGGTGTGAGAGGATGGAGACAAGGAACATGAAGCAGAGAGTATTGTCCTATGAAAGAATGAACTGTTGAGAGGCTCAAACACCAACAACACCACAAGGTATATCAACAGTTGGTGTAAAGGACAGAGAAGGTGATCCTCTAAGTGCATACTCCATGTCCTGCTGGGGATTGAGTCTATGTCATGTTGGGGATTCTCCTTGTCAAGTGTGGGGATTCTCCTTGTCAAGGGTGGGGATTCTCCATGCCATGTTGGGGATTCTCCATGGCCCACAACAGATTCTCCTTGTCAAGGGTGGGGATTCTCCATGTCAAGTGTGGGGATTCTCCATTGGCCATGGGGATTCTCCAAGTCAATTGGGGGGATTTTTCATGACCTATGAGGAGGAGATTCTCCATGGGCCATGGGGATTCTCCATGTCAAGGGTGGCAATTCCCCATCTCATGTTGGAGATTCTCCAAGTCAAACTAGGCTTGTAGTGGTCAATGTGAAAGATCTGAATGGCATTGTGAATGATATGATACAAGTTGACAGGCATGTAGTAGGGAGTAAGGCTGCCTGTGCAAGGGACAATGGATGTCTGAAATGCATGATGATGCTGAATGAGGCAAGCATATTCTTCACCAAGCTTTGCTTTCAACTCCAGGGAGCTTTTGTCAATACCGATCTGCAGAACTCCAGCAAGGAAGCCACCCTCCTTGTCTGTGACATCAACACAGTATTTGTGCTTGAACTCCCTGCAAAATGAGGTAATGTCCAATGGTGGAAGCTGAATGGTATATACTTTCCTTCCACACTCTGCTGCCCAACACAGACCATCATCTGTAAGACAAAGATATATGATGCTTTTGATCTTGTAGTGACCATCTGCTTGACATTGTTGTCCTCCTTCAGGTGCTCCTGCATATATCAATCAGAATGGCCATGAGCAAGGATAAATTCACACTCAACCACACTTCTGAAGGATTCTAGGTTAGTCATGCTGGGCCTGGCCTTCAAGTGGTCATGATATGCATCATCAAGACCCTCCTGGATCCTTTGCTTCTTTTTTGCTATATATACACTCAGTATCACTGGTAAATAGCACCATTTCTCACTCACTGTGGTGCATTCAATTTTGATTGCATTAGTATGAACAATGAGCCTGGACACATTGTGAGGGGCAATGAAGGATATATGATCAGTCACAAAATCACAAAGATAAAGCAGGGGTGATTCTCCAATTTATAGACATTCAATATATATATACAAAGTCTAGTATCTCTGTCTTTTTAATGGCAATTTCACTGGTGAAGAGGGCAAATAACCATTTTCAATGTCCTGCAACCATTCCTCATCCTCTGTGGATTGCTCCTCATCTGCTTCCTGCATGGAATATTCCTCTTCCAGTGCCATCTTTTCAATGGATAACAATAGGTTATCATCACCTTTTGACATCAACCCCTCCCCATCAGAGTCATAGTCTCTTAATGATCTCTGTGTTTGATCCTCTGCTGCAGATATTACGCTGGGATTGTTAGCAGCAGCAAGGCATCTAGAAAACTTTCAAGTGCTTCACACCATGCAGTTGTGTTGGGGGTCAACTGCACAAAGAGTTTCCTCATGAACTCCAACACTTGAAGATCAACTGCAAGAGTGGGAGAGATTGGGGAACATGCAAATAGACCATGTCCCATGAGGTGTATAGAAGCTGGGGTGCATGCACAATAGCTTATCTCAATTTCCTCCAAACCTGGTATGTGTGAGCATGACATAAGCACAATGATGGGGTCATGTGTGGTCAAAGAAAAGACAGCAAACAGTGAGTGAATGCACCACACAAGTGGGACATCCACTTAGATGGTGAGCCATGGGATCTACCACCACCTGAAGGCTTTGTGATGCTTGGAGGTACCACAGGTAGGGCTTCAGAAGCACAGGGATAACATCTTGTGACCACCATCACCATTGGTTTTGTCACTTCTGCAAACTGCTCAGGCCCAAGGGAGAACTGACCTCCTCATTGAAATGAAGGCTATCCACAAGATCAAAAACATCAGACCTGCAAGGAGGTGAGCTGTGATGTTGATCTGGTACAGCATTGGCATCTTGTGCAAGGTGCTGGTGACCTGGAAGGATGAAGAGAGGTGGGGGTGCAGGGAGGTAGAGTCCTTTCATACCATAGGGCTGGCAGTGATGAGCTGATGGATGTGGAACAAACAACAACTGAGGGTCCTAGCCAGGTGTAAGCATGTGCAAGTTCTGCCAGAGGGAAAAGACATACCAAATGACTAGGCATCACCTGAGTATCTGCAAAATCTGACATACCAAGGGTGGAGGAGAGCAAAATGAAGCCTGATGATCAGACAAGGTCAAGGGGTGGGGGGCAATGCTGGGCATCCAACTAGTTGAAGGAGATGTGATGGAGGAACTCTGCAGGAAGATAAGCCAACATGAATATAAGGAAGTTCACAATGATGAGAAAAACTTACAAGGTCAGAGCCATCATCCAATGCACAATGCTGGGAAGAGGAAGCACCATGGTTCCTCTGAGGTTTCAGGTGGTGGACTCCTATTCAGTAACTGAACACTGTGACATGAAGTCAATAGTGTATATGCAGGACTCAGAGTCACTAATAAGTGTCTGAGACCCAAAGTCACCAGACTCTGGGTCAGTACAATAGGAGAGAGTGGCTACACAGCTGAAATGAAAATTTGACAGCAACATAGGCCAAGATGAGCACACAGTCAGGAACAAGGACATGATAAGTGATGACAAGAACAAAGAGAGTTGTCTGCTGGAGGTGAATATGAAGCCAAGATCAAGTGTGGGCAGAAGAATGTTCCATGGAAGGTGCTGCTAGACCTGCTCTTCATCCACAAGCATACCATTGTTGATTGGCCAGCTGGAGTTCTGGTGGTTGGTCCTGATTTCAACATGAAGCACCTCAATGTTGATGAGCTCTGTGCTCTCACTGTTCCATTTTTGAAAGAGCAGATGGAACAAGATTACAACTTGGAGGCTCCAGCAGAGGAGGAAGAAGACCACTTTGTGCCAGTACCTGCTTTGTCATTTTATCTCAAGCATTGGACAGCTGGTGAGTATTACTGATCTTGCACAATTATGCTGGCCTGACTAATGTGAATTATTCAGACCAGCTTCAGCTGTTGCATGAAGCTGACCTGAAAGCCTTTGACATTCCATTAGTAGTGAATATGCTTCAACACTCCCTTTGCCTCATTTCTGACTCACAAGCATTTGTCAAAGTGCTCCCCCCAACAATGCATTATAAGGGCCCTGACCAGGAGGCAGCCCCTTGTCTCCCCCCACCCCTAGCTGAAGCACAACCACATGAGGCTGTGCAGCACCAAACACCTGCAATGCTCATTGACCCCCTCCAGCATCCAAGTATTCACCTCTTCCTCCCTCATCACTGCCTGACAAATCACCTTGCTCATCTCCTCCATGAGCTACACATGATCCTGCTCTGGTAGCACATCATCTACAACATGGTGCCTCCCACAGCCGCTCTCCAACCCTGCACTCCCACCACTGCCCCTGCCACTGATCACAGAAGCATTGTTGACAATATCCAGAAGATGGAAGTGAGAATGATGCAGGTGTTGAAGTGTTGTCCCCTTTACCTGATTTTTGCTTACATCATACAAGCTTACATAATAAATCTTCGCACTTAGGATGTTTGTTTTTCCTTCAGGTGTACCTCAGACTTCTTCTAACTGAAGCCTGAGGTAACTGTTCTGCTTTATTAATTAATAGCTACCTTACTGACTTACTGCTGTAGGCTCCTTCCTAGGTTAGCTGTGAATATAGACTTCTTCTAACTGAAGCCTGAGTCTCCTTCCTAGGTCCCTCATCTTGGCCTACCTTCAACAGCAGGCCCATCACAGGGAAGGTCCCATCACAGGTATGCTGTTAGTCTGACCTGAATGCATTATACTGACCAATGCAGTGTGGTTGAGTATGTTTATCAGAGCCCCCCACACAAGAGACACCACTATCCATCTGATGATGAAGATGGCTACCCCTGTAATCATTATATCTGCTACTGAGGTATGTTATGTACACCTCTGTTACATACCCCCATCTTCACTGATTACATGCATAACCTAGTGCTCATTGATGATACCCCCCTCCCCATTCATTAGTACTATGGACACTGATCCTTACCTTTCAGTGAGCACCACCCCACTGTTGGAACATAAAGTGCCCCTGTGGTACTTGACCACTGTGCGATGTTTTGGCTGATTACATAAGCTGAAATAGTGCACCTACTTGTAGTATTTTCTACTAGTATTCCCTCAGTAGTTTGTTCACTATTGAGGGTAAGTCTATTCATATTACAAGTATTCTACTATACTGACATCCTGTAGTAGCCTATAGGTACATTAATACACTCAGTAGTTTGTTCACTACTGAGGTAACCTACAGATATTTCTACACCCACATGGCCATTGCTGTGGAGGTATGTCATATGCATTTTGATTACTATCTCATCCCCACTGATTCTATGCATGGCCCAGTTGCTCACCAATGATACCCTTCCTACCCTTGTACTTCCCATTCATTAACACTGTAGATACAGAGTTGAAGACTTCATCCCCACTGATTCTATACATGGCCCAGCATTTTCCAATGATACCCTTCCTACCCTCACACTTCCCATTCATTAATACTGTAGATACAGAGTCAAAGGCTTTGTTTAATCTTATAGTGTGTTGCCTTACATAATGTGTTGCTGGATGCCTCAAAGTCCAGTCTGAAATTTGGTTTGTCCTGTGTGTTTTTGCTGGACTGGTGACACCTATCTTGTTGGAGATTATAAAGTGCCAGTGTGGTTGTGACTTAGGTGTGCTTCAGCCATGCTTACATAACCACCTTAGAGCATACATAGTGATACATTCCCTTCACCATTCCCTCAATAGTTTCACACCTACTGAGGTAGCCTATAGGTTTCAATATATCTGTGGCATGGTTTGACCTGCCCATTGTTTTTTGGGAGGTGTCTGATGCTTCATGATTTGTAGAGGGGCTAATGTGCATGACTACATCCCTTGTTTGTGCTGTCCTCTTTGCCAGTACTAGTGCAGTCTCACAGTGATGAATATGATGCACATGTCAGATATCCACCTGTGTCAGGTGGCAGAGTTGTAGTAGGAAAGTGTATACCATTTAGCTTCCACCATTGGATGTTACCTCACTTTACCAAGGATGACTTCAGTTCAGAGGTGAGTGGATTGATGGAGAACCATACATGTGTGGGCTGATCCTGCAGGAGTTCTGTTTCCATGCCATGGTTGGTCAAGAAGCTCTCATTGATACTGTTGTCAATGGGGGAGACAGGCTATATCCAATGTCAAGGTGCTGGAGGATGTCATGATCTACTATGGCAGTGCAGTGCATGATCCATTGGGTGACCTCATCCAGTTCATGTACAAAAAGATGGTTGGTGTGACCCAGGGCAGTCTGATACATATTGTCTTCTGCAAGAAAGGTCCTGCCATGTGTCAGGTCTTCACTGGTATACAAATGGTCATCAACTACTGGCTTTTCCATAATGGGTTCAGTATCAGCAATGGTGGTCTATTGCTGGACTGAAAGTGACAAGCTTCATCACCAAAGAAAATTGCAGAAAGGAAGCAGAGGGTCCAGGAGATTATTGATGATGCATATCACAACCACTTGAAGGGCATGCCTAGCATGACTATCCTAGAATCCTTCAAAAGTATGGTTGAGTGTGAATTTAACCTTCATTGTGACCATTCTGGTTGATATGTGCAGGAGCACTTGAAGGAGGACAACAATGTCAAGCAGATGGTTACTGCAGGATCAAAATGTTCATATATCAATGTCTTGCAGATGGCTGTCTGTGTTGGGCAGCAGAGTGGAAGGAAAGTGTATACCATTCAGCTTCCACCATTGGACATTAGCTCATTGTGCAGGGAGTTCAAGCACAAGTACTGTGTTGATGTTACAGGCAAGAAGGGTGGCTTCCATGCTGGAGTTCTGCAGATTGGTATTGATTACTCCACACTACATGCCTGTCAAGTTGTAAAATATCATTCACAATGCTATTTGGATCTTCCACATTGACCACTGTAAGCCTAGCAACCTTGAATCAGGATACATTGTCAACCAAGTCCACCAACTCCTGGAGAAGCTCCTGGCTGTGCTGGGTGACAATGAACTCAGCAGGAAAGGTTGGACCTCCTACACCTGCTGGCACACCTGTGATGATCATTAATTATATGTATGACACTGCTTGCATGCTTGTATTGATGTTGTTGTACTGCCTGTACCATATCAAGGTGGGCATTTGTGGCATCCAGAGATGCCCAGGAGGCTTATGGTGTGCTAGGTGATTGATGTCAAGGGTAGGGATCTGCCATGTCAAGGATAGAAAATCTCCCACTTGACATGGAGAATCCCCAGTGGGCCTTGGAGAATCCCCAGCTAAACCATGGAGAATCCTCAACATGACATGAAGAATCTCCACCCTTGACATAGAGAATCACCAGTGGGCCATGGAGAATCCCCACCTTTGACATGGAGGATCTCCAACATGGCACAGAGAATCCCCAGTGGGCCACAGAGAATCCCCAACATGGCATGGAGATTCCCCACCTTTGATGTGGAGAATCTCCAACATGTCATGGAGAATCCTCAATGGGCCATGGAGAATCCCCACCCTTGACATGGAGAATCTCCAACATGACATGGAGAATCCCCAGTGGGCCATGGAATCCCCAACATGGCATGGAGAATCTCCACAGGTCATGGAGACTCCCCACACTTGACATGGAGAATCACTGCAGGTCATGCAGAATCCCCACAGTTGACATGGAGAACCCCCATAGGCCATGGGTAATCTCCAACATGACATGGAGAATCCCCACACTTGACAAGGAGAATCCCCAACATGACATAGACTCAATCCCCAGCAGGACATGGAGTATGCACTTAGAGGATCACCTTCTCTGTCCTTTACACCAACTGTTGATATACCTTGTGGTGTTGTTGGTGTTTGAGCCTCTCAACAGTTCATTCTTTCATAGGACAATACTCTCTGCTTCATGTTCCTTGTCTCCATCCTCTCACACCTGTGTGATTTTCCTGGTGACATAGAGGAGATGGTAGTGTCCCAACTTCTGAACATCACATAGTTTTTCCAATGGTATATTTGTTGACTTCATCATGGGAGTTTGTTGGTGTCCAAAATGTCCTCCATCATCTTGTTAGAGCAGCATGAGGAGCAGGGTGAGCTAAAGCACAGGGTAGGTTAGTTTGAGTGCATAAGGATGAGTGGAGTGTTTGGTCAGGGGGATGTTTCCTGAGAGTTAACACCCAGATGATTCTGATGTCATATGCAGAAGGTGTCATTCTACCTCCCCTTTCCTCTATCACCCACCCTGCCCCTTTCTCCCCCTGTACCACTCACCTGCTTTCTGTTCTCCTCCATCCCCCCTGCCTTTCAAGGAACCCTCCTGATCACCTAGGATTCCAATGCAAGTGCCATAATTGATGGTCTCAAGTTGTGTCACTCTGTAAGAATGGCTTCCAACTTTCCATGGCCTGGGAAAATGAGTCTATTTAGTCTGTGGAAGGCCCAGGTTCACCCTGGCAAGTGGGTCTATTTGGCCTGGGGAAATCCCAGGATCAACCTGGAAAGCAGGTCTATTTAGCCTGGGGAAATCCCAGGTTCACCCTGGCAAGTGGGTCTATTTGGCCTGGGGAAATCCCAGGATCAACCTGGAAAGCAGGTCTATTTAGCCTGGGGAAATCCCAGGTTCACCCTGGCAAGTGGGTCTATTTAGCCTGGGGAAATCCCAGGATCAACCTATGGTGTTAAATCTGCACAAAAATTAATATTATGTCTGGTCACAACTTGAATTAACCTGAACACAAACTGAATTAACCCAAACACTGGTTGAATTACCCCAAACACAAGTTGAATTACCCAAACACAAGTTGAATTACCCCAAACATGAGTTGAATTCCCCTGAACACAAATTGAATTACCCTGAGCACAGTGAATCTCCCAGAGCACATGGAGATTTTACCTGGACACACTTGTATTTATCTGAACACCACTATACTCATATTTGGCTTGCTTCTTATCTACTTAGAACTGTCTCCTCCATCAACAATCAGTCCACCTGCACCATTGCCTTATCAAAGGCTGTTTTGATGTGAGTAGCAAAGTTGATTGCAGTCCCTTGATGCTTTCCAGGGTGTGACAGTGTTGTGCCATGCCTGTAGGTTGGCTTCATCACCTATGAGTCAAAGCAATGAGATCTCAACAAAAGTATGGAATTCAACCCAGAGCACATACCATGGTAGTATCCTTTGCACACTTGACAACTACACCCAGAGATACATCCACATAGTTACTCCTGGAGTATGTTGGAACTTAGAACCCTTCCTCTTGACATGGAGAGCTGCTGCTGCATGGTTTATGACCTCATGCATGGTCACCCAGCTCAGAGCATGGAGTGCATACAATTGATCAGTGTGGATAGGACTAGAGAATGATTGGTGGGGCAGCCATGAAACATTGAATAGAATACTTATGCAGTATAGTTCTGGGACATATATGCCTCAGCAGGGGCATGGTCAGCAGTATTCCAGGATAGGGTTCCATTGGGCAGCTCAAGCTCATAACCATGCTCTGATGCACTTTATGTTAGTGTTCATGGGTTACCATTATACAGGCACACAGCTTTGACATTGCCTGGTGATGCCATAGGAGGTAGGCCAGCCATGGCAATCTTTTCCCTGACAGGATCAATGACCTCCTTTGGCAGTACTGCAGTCAAGAAGTTCCAAGTTAGAGACATGATTCCCAAGATGGACTTATCCTGAGCTGCCAGCTCCTCACCATCAAGTTTCTTGTTCACAACATTATGGACCAGCCCAAAGACATGAGCATGGCAGGGACCAGCATTCCACCCATATTGAATCAATTTTCCTCCATGGGTTGGCTAACAACATTGAGTAATAGAGTCAAAACAGAGGACACTAACCATACCTGGACACCCCTTCAGTTGTGCACAACATCCTCAATCACAGTGTTCACATGGTCAATGAGATCAGGGCACAGGATACAACAGCCTTGGATGACAATGAGTTCAATATCACCTGTTACAAGATGAAATAAATACTGGCACATGAGATGTTAACTTACCAGTGGAGTTTATGAAGGCAACATTGGCATGCTCTTTGACCACATACCAAGTGTTATCAGCAGGGACAATAAGGACTTTCTCACCAGCTCCAGCCAAGTCCTCATTGCCACAGTCAACCAGAATGGCACCATGCTTGTGTGGGTCAGGCATGCAGTCACAGAGAATTATTGTGAGTTTGAGCTGGGTGGCAAGGTCAGCACAGGGAAGGGGGTCCTTTCCCAAGCCTAGAGCATTGGTCTACAAAATTAGGCATAACCATTGCACCTGTACATATGAACACTCACCAATTCACACTTTGCTAGCCTGTTGCTATTAGCTGCAGCTTTTCTCCCATGGCAGTAGTTGTTCATAGCAGTCAACAGCTCTGAAGTAGTGAGATGCACTGCATGCTGGCTGACAATACACAAGAAATTCTCAAGCTAATGATGTTAGACCACGTAAGCAGATGATAGTAGGTAGGAGACTCACCTTCTTGGGAGGATGGGGAAGCTGGGCCTTGAGGGCAGCACCCTCAATGTACCTCCATGCATTGGGTGACAAAGGTTCTGTCACAAATGCAGCAATGAACTTGGAGTTTCCCTCCAGCAGTTCCAAAACTATACATAAAAGGTCAACTGGTACTGTAAACACATACAGGCAGGCAACATACACTGGATGAGTTTGAGTTGCTTTTGTGAAACTTGTTGCTTTGGCATAGCAGGCTTTGTGATGTGGCAATCAGTTGCTGAGGGTGAGGTGGTGCAGTGGGTGAAAATTTTCTCCATGGGAAAGTATTATGTAACCATTGCTATTGTGGGTGTACCCATAAAACGTAGTGGGCCTAATCCGCTTTTTTAGTTACATAATCAGAGGAGTCTGGGTAAATAGTGGCTGTACTAGTAAAATGTAGGGATGTCTACTGCGCTTTTTTGATTACATAATTAGTGGTGGTGGTTGAGGAGTCATAGGTTGAAGTGTGTGGGAGGTATGCATTGTTGTGTGGCCTAGTGGTTTAGTGTGCCTGGCCCCTGTTGTGTATCTGCACAGGACTGCCAGCTGAAGCCCCAGGTTTGATTCCTGCCCTGTGCAAAAAAATTGCACTGACCCTGGTTGCACTGCTGGCATTGGCCCTGCTGTACTGCTACACCTACACACACCCCTTTATGTTCCTGTTTTTTTTTTAAGGACCATTTAACTACAGTGATGGTGGTAAAAAGTTCAATCCTGACTGAGTGCCCCAAAAAATTGCACCAGCCTTTGTGGCTTTGCTTGCATTAGCTCTTGTGTACTACTATTCTTGTGCATGTTTCTTTCTTCTTTCCATTTTTGGTACCATTTAACTACAGTGATGGCAGTATAAATTTCTGCATGTCCCCAAGTTGTAAAGTGACAAGGTATTATAGGGATGCAAGGTAGTGTTGGATGGCTCCAGTTGCACCATCAACTATTGCATCCACAACATGCAGACCACCACCCTCAATGATTTCCCCCACATATCTCTCCCTACAGGCTACTCTTAATCCATCAGGGTGTGGCTGACTGGCAATATAGTCAATGACAGCATTTAAGGGCAGGGGCCTGGTGGGATGGAGGAGTTGATGAGCTACTTTATGCCACCAGAAGTGAATCCAAGCCTCCCTACACAGTTGATGTTGGCTGGCAAGGCAATTTGGGTCAGGTTCAAGTGAAAGGCCAGGAGGTACAGCTGCAATGGTCTTTCATTCACACTTGATCATCTCCTGAGCCTTGGTGATGATTGAGTATACCCTAAGACCAAGTTGGAAAACATCATCCTTGCTAATTGCAGCAAGTGGAGAGATGACCAATGCCCAAGTGGCATGGGGTATCCACTCAGGGATGCTATGCCTGTGAGTGAGCTCAAGCTTATGGGCAGGACTCAAGTCCAATTTCTTGAGGTTGGAGATCACCCATTCTATGCTATTCTCAATCATCCACATCTGAGAGATCTTGAGAATTGCAGTAAGGGAGGGGATAGTATGGTGTTGGGCAGCAGATCCACTGATATTTGTTAGGGACATCTGTTGTGGATAGGGTTCCATAGTGAACTCACACATGGTATACCCAGGCAATGAAGTGGGTGAACTCTTCCCTGCTAATTCCTTCCAAGAAAATGGCATGGTTGCTATCCTCTCCATCACCCTCAACACCTGATGGCATGGTTAAGATACCTTCCAGGGTCTGTGAGTGCATGAAGAGAATGCTTTTGTGCAAACAAAAGGTTGTATTGCCTGCCTTAAAATATTGTTAATGACCAGTGTGCTTCCACCACCAGCACAGTGGGGGGGATCAATACCTGAAACACAACATTTCCATCAGAAAACCAAAATATGGGATGTTGATTCATATGCTAGGATTGGTGTAGAGGAGGTAGAACTGGAGTCCAGGTGATCACACCCCAACACCAAGGTCCATTACATAAGCACAATGAAACTGATCTCAGGCCTCATTCCAGCTAGTACTTGACTATCCAGTTGGAAGCTGGTGATCATGGTTTTTCCTGCTTTACCAGATCAGACCTTAGCTTCCTGGCCTGCCCAGGTCTTACAGGCCCATAAAACCCTGCATGATCTATTCCACCATGCAAATCAAGCACTGCAGGGCAAGGCTGACCCCACTTGACTCCAATACCATTGGGATGCAATCAACCATGATGCTATCCAAATTCTCCATGCATTGGAAGCCCTTACCAATCAAAGTGAGCTGCCATTGCATTGGGTGGCTGAGTGTACTGCATGCTTTGGCTTGCTATTGCAGCAACTTGGAGGTGCTCTATAACAAGCAATGGGACAGTGAGTGCATACTTATCTGCATCTTTTATTGGCTGGTTACCTTCTGCAGTGAGGCATTGGAGGTGAATCATATAGATCCAATTGAAACTACCCACCATCAAGGACCTGGATGACCATGAAAACAGCCAAAGGTTGAGCTACTGCATGCTGCCATGGCTCCTGGACATTGTATTACAGTCTCAAAGCTAGTGAGGCTCATAGGTATCCACTGTAACACACTGCACCATTATCTCAAGAAGTACAGGGTTGATTACCAGCACACCCCAATCACCAATGGAAAACCAGATCTTTTGACCCACTATTTTCACCATCTTAAACCACAATCTGGGCTTCACTATCTAGCTGGATCTCTCAGCCAACATGGGTTATGCATTCAAAGACACTGAATTGCTTCTTCTCTCCAATGTGTTGACCCTCTTGGCCAAGTGTTATAGAGCAGGCTACTATCCATTGCCACCAGTACCAAGTCTCACACCCTAATGCTCTCTGGCATATGGATGGACACCATAAACTTATCCATTGGGGTATTGTAATCCATGGTATCATTGATGGCTATTCCCAAACTGTATGTTTTCTTGGCCATTGACTTTGCAGCTCCAGCACTGGACTGACTGTGCTTAGATTGTTGGTCTTAAGGCTCATACCAACAACAGTGCACATACAGTTTTGGATACCTTTTTGCAAGCAGTCAGGCAATATGGCTTGCCATCATGGATTCATGGTGATAGAGAGGGTGAGAATAAAGATGTATCTGTGTTCATGGTCCTAACAGAGCCAGTTTCATGTGGGGAACATGTGTCACTCTTACATCTATCCACCACAATGCATTAACCCATCTATAGCTCTACCCATAACACTCACATTGAGAGGGCATGGGTGGAAGTGGGTTGGTGATTTGGGTGATCCTGGAGAGCTTTCTTCCTCCATCTTTAGAGGCTCCACCACCTTGATAGGTCAGATCCCAATCATCTCTGGCTTTTGCATCACCTTTTCTTGAATGAAATCAATGCTGATTGCACCATCTTCTGTGAGGAGTGGAATGCCCATCCAATCACAGGAGAAGGGCATGATCAAAGCCCAAATGTAAGTTTTACTACTGGAATGTCTGTGGTGCATTTACACTGTAATCAAACCATGTTATTTATTACACAGGATCTGCACTTCACAGGCCAGCTTGAACATGGCATGTACAGGGATGATGTGATTTCTGTCCACCCAAATGTTTATGCACACTATGGTGTGGAACATAGCCAGGGCCAGGATGATGCAGACTGGGTGGACATTGGAGAGGATGGTAATGATGTCCCTGACCTACCCTCCAGGATTGCTGCAGAGCAATCTTCCCAATCCCTGCATGAGGCTGCACCAGTACCTGCATACACCAATCCTTTTACAGCTGTTGCATTAACAGCTTTCATCAGGGCTTTGGATCAAGTTCAACAACTGCACCATATACCTACTGGGTTGGGTGTTAGAGCAGAGGAATGGGACCATGATGGATATCCAGAGCTTGAAATTATTCAGTCAGGTCATCAGGGAAGAAGGAAGGAGCTTGCAATTGAACTACCACATTCTCTCTGGTATGGACAAGCTGTGCACTGGTGCCAGGCCTTAGAGGTATTCAACCACACCATGGCCTTGTTTAATGAGACCATGTAGTAGGATGCTACAGCCAGTGCTTTCAATGTACTTGTGAATTGTGTGTACCCCCTGTCCAAAAGTGTGGGAACAGTCTATTACACTGAGTCAATTTTCATAGTATGCTGTCATCCTGTTCCTCCTCCACTGACCATATTTCCAAGTTTTCAACTACTGTCATTCCTTTGCACTCTCCTTTCTCTATTTCATTCCTTTCTCCTCCTGATATCTTTTAACATGGTCAAGTGATTGCAAAAGTGAAAAGCCATCTCTTCTGATGACAAGTCTGAGTCCTCTTTTCCTCAACCTTCACAGAAACCAGCCTCAAATTCTATTGTTGATTCTGTCCTTCATTCCATGTTCTCACAACCACCATCTACCTCCAACTATTCCTACCTGCCTACCAAGACCCAGCCTTCTACATTGGCTAAGGCTGTTATGCCTGAGCAGAGTGACTTCGTCAAATGGACTAGGCACAATGCACATGAGGGGAATACTCCAGGCTGAACTTATCGTAACTCCTATGGCTCAGTTACTGCAAGAGTCCAACAAAGGTTCGATTCCTACTGGTGAGTTCTTCTGAGATCACATGGAGGAAGGAACAAGGATGAAAGCAGAGGGATGAAGCTGAGTTGCAAGTAATTGAAAAACTGAGGATACAGGGTAAAGTATGTAGGATTATATACCCCTAAGTACAAGTACCCAAACAGTCATGATGTGTATCCACAGTGGTCAACAAAATAATCAGTCAAATAAATAAGTCAGAGAGAGTCATACAGTGTCATATGATGGGGATAGTTAAGGAAATGAAGGCTGTACCAGCTGCACAATCAATGTGCAGCAAGGAGCCTCACACTGGAGCAAGAAGTAGACATATAAGCAATGTAAACAAGTCAAGAAACAGGAACATAGCAAGTTGTCCATCAGAGAGGGCAGTGGAATACCAGATCTGACCAGAAGCCATGATTGGCAGGTATTGGAAATACCTTGACAGCAGGAGATCTGAGTCCACCACATAGCATGTGAACCCCTAGGATGGTGATGATTATGAGAGATGTGATGAGGCATGTGATGCATGTGACTGCAAGGAAGCAAAAAAGGAAAGACCCCTGACATGGGCATAACAAAGGCTTCCATCCACCAAGCACATGCCAAAGCAAACAAGGGTTTGAAAGGAAAGTCAAGGTCAACAAGCTACAGGCAGACCTTTAGGAAGGAAGGTGAAACAGAAAAGGTGAGTCCTATCAACCCACCATCTCCATGGTAGCTACTTTAACATTACTCACCTGTGTCAGGGTCTTTGTGGTCATCCAAGAACCCTGGACTTTCTCATAGCTTGTATTGTTTTCCTGCCATATGGAGTGGATATGGTAAGATTTGCATCCTCATTTTACCTGCATTTTTATGTTGAGTTCTTGCAGCCCAGCCTTGAGGAGGATTTGGATGTGAATGAGCCTACACTGGCAAACTTGTTTCCAGTGATACAACAACTAACTGTCCTCACAAGTGCTCAGCTGAGCAGGCTTGAAGCTGCAGGTTTAGCTCACTCCAACTTTTGTTCATACTTTACATTCAATCAGGAGTGGAGTTGGACACAAGTTGACAACATGCTTTGTGGTGAATTCCCTCACCTATTTGAAGTTCTTGATACCCAGCCAAAGGTAAGGTCACACTGATAGCACATACTCACTGATTCACCACCACTGCTTTCTAGGTGTTCAATGTGAGTTATAATATGAGTGGAATGGTTGGTAGGCAATACAAGTACCTGCCCCCATATCTACTCCACCTTCACAGTCACAAGGAGGCTGTTGTGACAGGAGGAGTAGAGTTTCCTGATGGGGAAGTCCTCTTCCAAAAGCTGAAGGCTGGCAAACAACCTTCTAGGGATGAGTCAGAAATCATCTTTGGTAAAATGCTCAAGACTTGGTGTGGTGTGTGAGCTAACCTATATTCCCAGTTACTCATAATGAGATACCATTCAAGCTCATCATTCAATGGGTTAAGAAACAGCACCCAAAGGGGAAGGGAAAGTACAAGGCAGAAACTGACTTGGGTGCTGAGGACAGCAAGTCTCAACTTTGGACTAAGTCTGACAGTGGTGACAATGCTGATGACCCAATCCTGAGCCCAATAAGTCATGGTATCAAAAGACATTGCATTGATGGTAGGTCCAGTCACCATCTAAGTTTTATATTGCTAACCTGATGGACAGTTCATGATTTGGACTCTGAAAAAGCTGGTCCTTCACATGCTAGTCCCTCAATGAGTACAACACCTGACACCATTGACCTCACTGATGGCCCCATGGATGTCACAGCCCCCAGTGATGAACTTCCCCTGCTACCTGCACCACCATTGACTCTTCCCTTGACTCCTATCCAAACCCATACTCAACTGGCCCCATCAAGTTCATTTATGATTGATACCTCTTTGAAAAACCCATGGAAAGGTATTCATACCTTCCAATTTTGAGCCTACCAGCATCCCTCCCTCTCCTTGCATCTAGTTAGTATTTGTGCTTACCACATAATCTTGTGTTCATCTCTTGGCATATATGATACCCAATGACTCACCTTTCTTCTTAGCACATACTACCTTATAGCTGCCTCTATAGCCACAAAGTAGAAAACATGGATTTACAATCTTTCTAATAAATTGTTTCTTGTAAAAAAAAAAAAAGGACTGTACAACCACATGTGAGAGAAAATTTTAATGTGTTCAGGTTAATTCAACTTATGTTTGGACTAATGTTAATTTTTGCGCAAATCTAACATCATATCAACCTGGAAAGCAGGTCTATATAGCCTGGGGAAAGCCCAGGTTCACCCTGACAAGTGGGTCTATTTAGCCTGGAGAAATCCCAGGATCACCCTGGAAAGCAGGTCTATCTAACCTGGCAAGAGCCCAGGATCAACCTGGAAAGGGGGTCTATTTAGCCTGGAGAAAGCCCAGAATCAACCTGGAAAGGCAGTCTATTTAGCCTGGAGAAAGTCCAATTTGGACCCCAGCTACTCTTTCATTTGATGTATAATATATATATATTACAGAGGAAATGTTTTCTCCAACCATATTAAATTGCTGCCCAGGAGAATCTCCAGGAATGGTGGTGGAGAATCCCCAAAAGTTGGGAATTCCCACCAAAATGACACCTATTAGGTTAATACTTATATCAAAATCTCCAGACCTAATAGGTCTCCAAGGGGGGTTGGCTGAAGTGGTACCCTGACATTGCAATCATACTGTACTAGGCTAATGCTACTTATCCTGCTTTTTCCAGGATTTTTACAAATTCTTTTGGGGGCTGGCCACATTTGTGGGTCAAAATTTCAAAAACTTAGTATAACAAAAATTGGCTCATGCAGATTGCATTGTTATGTCCTAAATATGCCTAGTATACATTTGTAACACCCCTGGAATGTTGTGCCATATTGGAGTAATTCAATGAGTAAAGTTGTCATGTTTGTCTGTCCACAACTGTCAAACAGGATATTTTGTGCATGACAGACCCACCATGGTCCTCATTGGAAGAACTGGATGAGTCATTTTATCAGTGATACATTGTACTGTTTTATGTGTTTCATCTTTTATTTTAGGATATAATTGTGGAATCTGTAGATAGACATCAGTATGCTGACAAGCTACTGAGGGACTAAGTGCACAGCAGAGCAGAGCAGCAAGAGGCCTGATGATGCAGCTAGGGCAGAGATGCTGAAAGATTGGAAAAACAAGTCAAGCACACTGGAAGGGAGTGGTCAGCTTGTCACCTATGAAACAATGTCAAAGAGAGACAAATTTGGATCTGTGCACAAGGCAGTCATGCCCACAAATGAACCTAAACAGCTCAGAACCTTCCCAATGCCTCTACATAAAACATGCCTACTTCACAGTTATTCTGTGTTAGAACAGGATATTTTAATACATTGTTTATTTATCATGTTTTCTGGGAGATAAGATACTGTAATTTGACCTAGAACATTTGGCATGCTCTCAGTACCATGTTCTTGTACATAAAAATTGTAGTTTAGCATGTCATGTTTTTAGAGAAAACATTGAACTGCTGTTCTGTTTTTTTTTTTTTTTTTTTTTCAGGATGAACATTGAAAGACTTGGCCAAATGTTTTTATTATTATCACATACAAAACATATATCATTTACTTTTGATGTTCTATGTAACATTACATGTTCTTCAATGATCAGTGTGTTTAAATTATTTTGTGGTAAAGTATTTGATTAATGTATTGCATAACATGTAGAAAACAGTACTAATAATTTTTTTGATGATTGTTTTTGGTTTTCAGTGGTGGGTCATGGTAATTGTTTTTCACCAATAAAACATTGGAAATCCACTGTGTCATGTTTTCTGTCAGAAAAACCATTCAAAATTCAACATTATTGCCAGTTGTTTCAGCAGAGAACATGAGATAAAATAAAGTATCTTTTCAAATCTTTTTTCCCCTATGTTTGTACAAAGAAAATTGTAAAATGCTTGCTGTGGTAAGAGGTTGGCCCAATTGTCCTGCTGGTAGTTGCAGTACACTCAGAGGTATTGTTCAAGAGTCTGGTTAGTCCTCTTGGTCTGGCCATCACCTTTGGGGTGGTAGCCTGAGGTGAAATGTAGATGCATGTCCAAGGCCTTACCAAGTGACCAGAAGAAATGGGAGATGAACTCCAAGCCTTGGTCAGAGGTTACATGGGCCAGCACTCCATGCTTGGAGAAGACATGGAGTATGAACAACTTGGTGAGTTCTGGGGCCATGATGGTGTCATGGGTGGGGATGAAGATGGCTTGCTTGGAAAGCCAGTCAACTACTACAAGAATGGCTGTGAAGCCTGATGAGGCTGGAAGCTGCTCAATGAAACTCATTGATATGGATTTCCATGGCTTCTCCAGCACCAGAAGTTGTTTGAGGAGGCCATAAGGCCAGTGGAAGGGAACCTTAGCCCAAGCACAGGCCATGCAAGACTGGATATAGTCCTTGATGAAGGTCCTGAGGCTGGGTGAGGTATACTCACACCAGATGAGTTCTAAGGTGCAATTTTGGCTGAAGTGGCTGGAAAGGGGATGGTCATGCTTAAGCCACAAGACCCTAAGGCAGAGGTCATTTGAGTCTGGCACATAGATCCTTCCATCAAGCCAAAGGAAACCAGTGTCATCTACAGACCACTGGGGATCAGACATGCTGGACAGGTGGATTTGTGAGACCAGGTTTTCTGGCAGTGTGGTCAGGATATCATTGCATAGTTTTTCTATGCCCATTAGCATGACTGCTCATAAGACTGGGTACTCAAGGTAGGTTGTGCAAAAGGAGACCACTAGTTGTTCCTGGGTGAAGACCAGTCTCAGGTTTTGTGGGTTCACTCAGGCATAGCCACTATCCCCCTCTTTGGGGTAGACATCCCATTGTCTAGTTAGGGCATCAGGCTTAGCCCCAAGCTTACCAGGCCTAAACCTGATGATCATATTGAACTGAGACAGGAACTCTGACCAGTGAGCTTGGTGGTGGGTGAGTACTTTAGAAGTAGAGAAGTACTTGAGGTTCTTGTGGTTGGTGACAACATCAACCAGTGAGACCAAGCCCTTGAGATAGTGGTGCCAGGTCTGGAATGCTTCAAAAATTGCAAGCAGTTCCTTATCATGAGTATCATAATTTAATTCTGGGGCAGTTGGAGTCTGGGAGTAGAAGGTGACCAGATGTATCTGGCTGTCACTGCAAGTAATGGAAAGGATGCCAGTGATGGCATAGTCCAATGCATCAGTCTCAATGGTCATGGGGACCCCAGGAATGAAATGAGTTAAGACCAGCATGGTTGTGAAGGTGGCCTTGAGGTTGTTGAATGACTGGTGTCACTCCTCAGAGAAGTTCCAAGGGGCACCCTTGCAGGTAAGCTGGGTCAGTGGTACAACAATGTCTGAGTAGTTGAAAATAAACTGGTGGTAGAAATTAGTGAAGCTGAAGAAGGATTGTATGTCCTTGACCCTGCAAGGCTCAGGCCAATCACAGATGGTCTGGAGCTTTTCCTTCAACATTGTGAGGCTGGCAGTGGAAAGATGGAAGCCAAGATATTCAACCAAGTCCAAGTGGAACTCACATTTCTCCAGCTTTGCATACAGGCCATGAAGCCAAAGCCAGTGGAGTACCTCTCAGACATGCTGCTTATGAGACTCCCTGTCTCTGGAGTAGATCAAAATGTCATTTAAGTAGATGACCACACATACATCCAACATATCAGTGAAGATCATGTTCACAAAGCATTGGAAGGTGGCCAGGGTGTTGGTGAGGCCAAAAGGCATTACTAACCACTCATAAGACCCATACCAAGTCCAAAAGGTGGTCTTCCATTCATTGCCCAGGGCAATCTGGATGAGATGGTAGGCATGCCAAAGATCAATCTTTGTATAGATCTTGGCTCAGCTTGGTGAGTCCAAGAGGTCAGAGATGAGTGGTAGTGGGTATCAGTCTTTCTTAGTGATTTTGTTCAGGCCATGGAAATCTACACAAGGCCAGAGGGAGCCATCCTTCTTCTTGATGAAGAGGACTGGTGCAGCAAGGGGAAGTCAGTCAAATGAATCCAGTGGTGAAGTTTTCATTGATGAAAGTCTGGAAAGCTTGTAGCTTGACTGGGGACAGTGAATAGTGTTGGAGTTTGACATATTTACCTTAGTCATGTTCCAGTGAGCACAGCATTATGTAATCAAAAAAGTGTACACTTTGCAGTTCCTTATTTACCTGCACCTCAGCTTCAACCAACTTGAAGTCTGAGGTGAGACTCATATATTCTTTCTACAGGACATTTACTTATCTACCTAGAATAATCCTTCCTTTCAGGTAGCTAGTTGTTTAGCAGCTTCAACCAAGTTGAAGTCTGAGAATAATCCTTCCTTTCAGTCCAGTACTTGACTCCCTCTGCAGTTCATCAACCTTCAAAAAATAGATGGTGCCTAATGGCAGGGTTGTTCCTTCTTCAAGCTCTATTTTCAGGTCATACTCCCAGTGAGGCAGGAGTGCCAAGGCCTTGGCTTTGCTGAAGACATCAGCAAAATCATGATACTCCTCCAAGACATTGGGTAAGGCTGGGGGAGGTGAGGCCAAGGCCAATTGGGCTTGGGCTGAGTCCAAAGGGTGGAACTGAAGTTGGAATTGGACAGACCCTTCAAGTTTGCAGGCACACACAAAGGTGGCTGCATTGATTAGGGAGATGTGAGGGACCTTCAGGGGGGTGCAAGCCAGGGAATCAGTGACCAGTACAGATGGCACAGGGCCAGGTTGGTCACTAGGACTGGGGTCAGGAAGACTGGTGGAGACCAGGCTTACAGGGGGAGTCAATGGGGTTGGCATTCCTTGTGTATGAGTCTGGAAGGTAAGACTGCTCAATACCCAGTCAATGAACAGATTGTATTGGGTGAGCTGGTTATGCCCAAGAACTACTTTACACTTGGAATCCAACAGGGCAAGATACAGGGTTACCAGTGG